AGTTCGAATAATGACAGCCGAGTATATTTGTTATGCTTGTATATGACACAGGACGATACAGTACACGTTGCATGCACAGAGCCTGTCTGCATCTTCTCTCTGTGCCTTCACACTTGGAAACATAGTTCCTGATGCCTGCTAATATTCAAACAAGCTCACTTCCACTATTATTGGTGTACTCACACAAATTTTTTTCGGAGTGACATGACAATATTGACGGGCCTATTGCAGGTTCGATAGAATTGCAAATGCACGCCTCTTTTTGTGTGTACCCCTGCACAAAATAACATTGTGTGCACGGTCACAATATGTTTCGTACTGTAGCTTTTTCACTGTTACATTACTGAAAAAGAATGATCTGCTTCTGCACTCTTTTAGGCAACCTCGACTCTCCTTCTGACAAGATTCCAGATGAGTTTGCTTGCCATGCTCATTTCATGCATCTCAATTGTGACGTTATTTTGAGCAGCTGAAAAATTCTTTTATGTCAAATAGGTGCATGTCACTTGTAAACACTACTGATAGCTTCACCGCCTATCTATCACATATTCCTGGCCTTTTAGTTTCATTCGCATGATTTTGTAGCTTCTAAAAACAAATGGCAGTTGGACACAAAGTAAGAAGTTGGAATAGCATGCTGCCTCTTCTAGTTGCTGCGCAATATTGTTTCTTACAGATACAGTAAAAAAAGCTCGTTAATTCGAACTTGAAGGAGACTATGAAATTGTTCGAATAAAGCGGAGTTTGGATCAGGGAACAGGCGCTTGAACGAACGGACGTCGCACTACACTGAGCGTGCGGAATTCAAAGAAATCTTGCCTGGACTCGTTTTTGCGAATTGAGCACTAGATGTTTGTGGGGGGTCGTTATGCAAGTTAAATTCATGGAGTTCTAACAGCAAACAGAAATTAAATGAAATTAAGCCAGAAACAAGCACCAACATGCATTGATGTGTGCAGGAAGTCCTTAATATGCCAAAATATATAGCACTATTTATGCTCAAGGACCCATTTATTAATCAGTAATTTGCATTCGCTTACATTTCTCTTGTTGCCACTCAATGAGCGTTGTTTGCTGCTTGCCTAAAGGCTCTGGCGCAGCGCCCAAATTCTCATGTGCTGAGAAATGCTGCCGCTTTGTTGTTTTTCACCTCCAGTAAATTTAGTTTGGTTTGGTTATGTAACACATTATGATCATTGGGCGCCAAATTCTGCAAGCACCGATGAAAAGCAGAGGACTGCCAGTTTGAATTAACCGTTGTGGATGCTAATATTATCAGGGATTTTATGTCCCGAAACCATAAGATTAGTCCCGATGTGGTGGTCTAGTGGCTAAGGTACTCGGCTGCTGACCCGCAGGTCGCGGGATCGAATCCCGGCTGCGGCGGCTGCATTTCTGATGAAGGCGGAAATGTTGTAGGCCCGTGTGCTCATATTTCGGTGCACGTTAAAGAACCCCAGGTGGTCAAACTTTCCGGAGCCCTCCACTACGGCGTCTCTCATAATCAGATAGTGGTTTTGGGGCGTTAAACTCCACAAATCAACCAAATCAACCATCTGATTATTATGAGACACGTGTAGTAGAGGGCTATGAAAATTTTGACGAACTCTATCTTGCACTGACATCGTACAGTACACAGGCCTCTATCTTGCACTGACATCGTACAGTACACAGGCCTCTACCATTTCGCCTCCATCGAAATGCGGCCGCGATCGAACCCGCGACATTCGGGTCAGCAGCCGAGCACCGTAGCAACTGTTCCACCGAGGCGGACTGTTTCGAATGCTGATGCGCTTGAATTGTATGGAGTTTTTTCCCATAAACATACACAGAGTTGTGCTGGGACCAGAGTGTCAGGTTAAATTATAAGTTTGAAATAACCGAGTTTAAATTAAGGAAGCTTTACTGTACTTGTTTTTGTTTTTTTTTCTGTGAGGGTCTACAATTTGACAGACCACCTTAGACAAAAAATGGAGGCTTTATGCAAAATTTGGCTTTTTTATTATTACTTCATAGTGTTCAGGCAAACCTTCTTGTTAACATATATTCTTATGCAACTTCCACATCTCTGAATGAAACAAGGGCAAATGGATCAAGAGATTGCATACCCAAAAGTTGTAGGTTTGAGTTCTACCACTGTCAAGTTGTTTGTTTGTCCTCCATTTTCCTTTTCATTTATGGTATATTTGTTACACTAAAGTTAAAAACTACAAATGACTTCCTATGGCTTCCTTGACCTTGCTGTCTTGGTGCAGTGGATACAACTGTAAAACTTCAAAGTAAAGTTGGTAGTTGACAGATGGAAACACTATGTGCTGTAAAGGTTGAATGAACAGGACAAGTTGCTTTACACAGGCCGACAATTCACTACGTGGACCTATCTTTGTCAAAGGCACCTTGTCATCCTTGGCTTGTTACTTTTGAAGCAGGTTAGTTGCTGAAGCAACACAAATGCAACACTACGGTTCTTGGATATTCTCCGCTCTCTGAAAAGAATCCAATCACAGGTTTGAAAACTATGGTGCATTAAGCATCCTCTCTGCATTCTCTGCCATGTCGTAGCATTCAACGTTAGCCTAACAGTCTGGTTCATTAATGTACACCAAAATTTGCCTACGGCAACGTCAGATTATAAAGACAATAAATGACAGGTAACATGAAAAATTTTAGCGCGCATGTCTTATAAATAATGAGCTAAGTCTTCATACTGTCATGGCAGTTTTGTTAGCTTCATGCCTACCACAATCTGCATTGCATGACATGAGGGCACAAGTGACATGAATGGCAAATCGTTACAAAAATATTGTTAGTTGCTGCCTCGATTCCCCATCTGCTTAGATTTCCACAGCTCATGCCAACCAGTGTTTCAAAGGTGGCGTCCGTGTGGAGTGTCCCCTATGTTTCCTGCCACACGGGGGTGTTTGATGCATTCTTAACCTGGCTTTACACGTTGCAAATGAGAACAGAAAGGGGACTAATGTGCGTCTTGAGAGTAGCTTTCAAACTGACACGCACACAAAAAAAATCTAGGAATGTTGATCTCAAAGGTGCTAGATTAGCGTGTTTCTAACCTGCTTTCGCGTACATGTGGTGCTCGCCTTTTACAGCTTGCATTTCTTGAATGATGCTACTACGAGTGCACCTTGCTTGCCTGGTTTAAGTCTCTTATAGTTGCTGTAACAAGGATGGATTCTGGGCTTGCATTTTTTTATTCTTAAAGAATATCGTTTTGTTTGCTGTGCAAACAAAACTCATCGAAGTGCTTATTTCTGTATTGAAGTGTGTTTTTAGATTATTTATAAACATTTTCTACGACATAATTTGATGAACATGGTGGAAGAAATGCCTTACAAATATTTGTGTGCAGTCCCCATCTATACCCGTGTGCTGCATGTTTCAAGCAAACATGCAGCTCAGGTGTATAGGTGTTTTTTTTTTTTTCGTTTTGTGAGTTAGTGAACAAGGAATGGATTTCGCAATCTTACTCGCATTCTGTCCCAGTGCATTGTTTCAGTGTATACCCACAAGCGCTGTTATGTTTACTTTTACTTGAGTCATTTGCGTGGCGCTAGCGAGATAAGGTCAGTGCCATACGCTGGGGCCATGCGCTAGGCCGTGCATGATGTTGTCGGCTACAGCAGCACTTTTGGAAGATTTTAAGGTACAGTTTTGCCGGGAGATTTCTGTGGCCGTGTTTAATGCTGCCAGGGCCAGAGATCTATGGGCAGCAATGATTTGCAAAGTATGATGTCTGTAATATACACGTCGGATCAATAAAACAATGCATTTAAATGGCATGATAGTCTGTATGCTCTGGTAGAATTCATCTTGCATGAAGGCCAGCATCGGTAAACCAACGCATACAGGCAGTATCTGGACTGATGGGTATGAAATCTAGAGTATGGGATGAATCTCATGGGTATGAAATCTAGAGTGCAATGGAATCCTGTTATGTTGAGACGTAACATTCATGAATGGCAAAGGCAACTACCAAGCGCAAAAATGTCAGTAATGTTAATCTTAACTCCCATATGGCATCCTTCTTTATAGCAGTGCTGAATATAGTCAAACATTTGCTTGATACGTCTCATAAGGTGGCACATAGGAAAATACTGGTGACAAGTTACCATTACTGTGATTAGGATTCCACAACAGTTTGAATGTAAAGCGGCTCTAGGGAGAAGATTCTTGCCCTCTTTTGTGTCACAAACGGTCGTGCCTGACCTTAACAAACATGCTCTACACATAAAGAAGTGTACATTCGAGGGCTCGTTTTTTCTTTGATAGCCAATATTAATGAGATCTAACAGACCATCATTCCTAAGAAAGCATAACGAATGTTATTTAGAAGTAATTGTAGTGCGAATGGGAAGAAAGGAAAGTGGTGATATGAAAAGATAACTAGCCGGTGGGCAGGGGCCGAACATGCGACCTTTGAATAATGCGTCCGATGCTCTACCACTGAGATATGGTGGCGGTCATCCCTCCGTCCACTTTATGGAGTATATATGTGCATTTAAACATGGAAGCTTCAGTCAGTGCCACCTGTTCACATTGCGGCAAGTGTGGAACACTCCTCTTGCCTGTTTGGCGTCATGTAGTACGTGACCTTATTACGAGGTGGCAGCTGACCAATAATCCCTCGCACACCTCCTCAGGGCATCAAGTCTGCCAGAATGAGACCCTCACTATGAAAATGAAGGACAGTGTAAAGTTAAGGGCTCGTTTCGTTTGTTAGGCACAATATTAATGAGAACTAACAGACAATAATGGGAGGGAAAGTAAAGGGGGATGTTATCAGAAGTTACTGTAATGTAACCGTGAAGAAAGAAAAGTGCACAAAAGGCTGCAACCTTCGAATAACATGTCCGATGCTCCACCAACTGAGCTACCACAGCGGCTATCCCCTCGTATTTAATGTTGGATGCAACCCAAGACCAGTGGGACCAGCATGAAATACTCCTTGTGCTATTCTACTAGATGCATGAAGAACAGAACAATTTGATGTTGCAAAACCGTTTTATTCTTATCAAAATGAGCGGTCTAAACGTTGTTTTTGCCTAACACTGCATTTTACACTCTCGTTTTTCAATTGTCTCACATATTGCAGTGACACGCGATACAACACCTGAAGTCGTTACCTATTACTCCGACAACACCTATGTGGATCCCAAATGGCAATCCTAGATTACAAATAGGAGTCTACTTCTCGTTAACCCTCGAAAGAATATATAACTGGCCACAGCTAAAATTACAGAGCCAGGGTGGCAGCAAACGCAAAGGGAAAAGCAACAGTAGATACCAGTCTGGCGAAATGAAAATCAACAAGTGGGCTAGTTGGCTTAAATATTGTGTGAATTTAATTAAATGTAAATAAATATTTTAATAAATAAATAAATAATCACGTTGAATGCTTTTTGACGGCGGGGAAGGATGCCTTTTACTTGGCTCTTGTCCCTCTGCTCTCAGAGTTGCGAGATGGGAGGTGGAAGCATGTCGGCACGCTCTGGTTGCCGACCTGCGGTTCAGACAAAGCCCCAGGCCTCGATTGCTTTGACTACAAAGTCTTCCTTTGTAGAGAGCACGTCGTTATCGTAAGTCTTGCACCGACGACTCCTCCCATGGAACAGGTCGCCGTCTAGCCACAGTCCCAAACTGGCCACTGCGATTTCATAGAATGGCAGACGTCAACACCAATGTTGACCCACATTCTGAAACAGTGTTGAGACTCATTGTGAGAGATGCAGTGTTGGCGCTCCATCTATATTTGAGGTGCTGCATTGGAGGGCTCTACATGAGCTCTTGACAACTGCTTATGCTAACGTGGTAGTTATTTGCGAAATTCTTCAACTGTGAGCTTTCAAGTGTGTCTGCATGCATGGTATTTGGTTGATTAGGTCGTTTACTTTAATGGTGGCATAAAAAATTGCCCATTCTGGCATACATGGTACAGCTGACACTGCAAGTGCAAAGCCTGCTTTTAAGTCTTATCATAATCAGTACATGATTACAAGCTTTGTACAAGTATTGCTGGTACATGACTCCACGTACACGACTTACTTCTACAAGAGCTTTCCTAGTTTTCACTGTATCGAAGGTTAAGGTCTGGGAGTTGCTCAGTTTCATGTTTTTGTGGGTGTGACGTAAAACAATCGCACTTCATGAAATTATCTCGGATGAGTATATAGAATTCAACTGGGATAATTTTGCAAGGTGAAATTGTTTTTGAAGCATGCCCATAAAAATAAAGACTTCAATGAATGATAAGTAAACAGTTTTAACTCTGGCCATGAAAGATACTTGAATGTCTCGGGAGCAACGCTTCTTTTTCATATATACGTTTATGTCGAAAGCTAACCGCAGCAGATAAACAAAGTTCACAGATTGCCTACACGTTACGTTGTACCAGCGAAAAAGACCACTCCAATATTACTTTGCTTATTTATGAACAAATGCTATAAATATGTACTATTTAGGTGGCATATTTGAATCCAGCTCGTATTGTGGTATGTACTATTTAGGCAGCAAACTGCTCACGGGTAAGTGCTTCAATATGAGTGAGACATTTTTTGGTACCTTTAGAAAAAAAACATTGTCGAGTTGACAACTGGACGCTTTTGCCACACTAAATCTCACTGCAACAGATTAATAGTGTTGCTCTGTGTAGAATGCGTTCCAAATATGGCTGTTGCTTCTTTGCAAGTAGATACTGTAATGTGAAAAAAGACAAAATTAACTTGCTAGACCCCTTTTTTTTTCCTTAAAAGGTGCTGACGATCCTACCACAGTGGTCTTGGGGTTGTGGCACCCGACTGCTGACCTAAAGGTTGCGGCATCGAATCCTAGTCATTGCGACCACATTTTTTATGGAGGCAAAAATGCACAAGGCCCGTGTAATCGGTACATGTTTAAGAACCCCAGGTGGTCAACATTTGTGGAACTCTCCACTATGACTTTCGTTATAATTATATTGTAGTTTTGGGATGTCAAATCACAACACCTAGCTGACAAAAGCGCAAAATCTTTCGGAACTGTTCTGCTATATTCGATAGTTGGGAACAATGGCCAGTATGTTATAGTTCAAGCTGTGCGATGGAGTTACAGCACTGAAGATGTGAAATGAAAAGCAGCGCTTAAACAATATTTTCCGCCACACTAGACATGGTGAAGACTCATTTCACATTGAATTCAGCCATGCAGTGTTCTTGAAGGGACCCCGCAACACTTTTTGAGCATGGTTAGAAAATGCTGCCAACCCGAAGTCGAGGCTCCTAAAAACCTATGAGCACATGGCCTGAAATTCACAATTCTCAGTCACCTAGAAACCACATCTTTTTCTTTCTACAAATGATGCCATATACCTAAATTACTGTGCCATATACCCAATGTCCATGGTCATTGAGTAATCTGAGCATTGTGAGCTGCATAGCTACCATGGCACGACGTGCCTCCATGCACACTCATGGTCCCACTAAAAGTAAGCCTCGTGCTCAAAAAAAAAAAACAAAAAAACAAAGTGCTCAAGCTCATGATACGTGCTGACAAAGGAAGGCATCTTCTCGCCGCGTTGTCATCGTATTCCCTGCGTAGCTTTCAGTGCACGATAGAAGCAAGAAGGTGCATGAAGCGTGCGACAAATCTTTGTAGCTTTTCCCGTACTTGATGGACATTTTTGCAACAGCCGATTCATGGAACAATAAGTCCTTTTAATAAAGCCATTTGATGAATACTAGCAAAAATGTTGCACTGGCCCCTTTAACATGATATGAAATATCAATGCACATGTGCCTTCACATTTGTGCTCGCAATAAAATGCAGCTTCCTATCGAACCTGCATCTTTATTACCAGCAGCTCAATACACTGCTTAATAAAATAGCCAAGGTGTATAATTAGAGCAGTACTCACTCTCCAGCACCGAAAGCCAGAAAATCAGCATTGCCTTTGATGAAGTAGACATTTTCACCGGTCCATTTGTACAGCTGCACAAGTCACACGGGAAGAGAAGTATATCAGCCTAAACCATATTAAGCAGAAACGTGAATTTTTCATCGTACATCAACACAGGTGAATCTCTCCTTCTCACACACCATTGTCTGAATTTCATGTGGGTGCATTGCCTAATGATGCAAAACAATAGTATTCGAGTCAATACTTTACCATCAGTAGTACGATAACCCAATATCACCGATGACATTGTGCTATGGTAACTACTATGGATAATGTAAAATGGTGCAAGGCACCTATTGCTTGGCGACGCTTTTGAGTAACAATGTGCATAAACTAGCTTGCTGATGGCAAGATGCTGAAATTAGTCAAGAATTTCATGACTAATAATAGTAAGTCAGGTGAACTATCGATGCTGTCAATAGCATTTATTGCAGTGTTTCAAAGCAAAACAGCAGAATGCTGTCAATAGTCTTTCACACTAAGTGGTAGTCTCAAAAGTAACATTACTATCTATAATAAATATGCATCACTTATATTCACCTTGCTGACTGTCAATCTTCTCACCTGCAGCTATGCACGGCTGTTGACCTATGCTATACTTGCCAATGGCTGTTTGCCTGGGAAATGTGGTGGCTCTGCAAGACTTCAATAAAATCTACATGCCTAGGACATGCAGCATTTTCCGGCACTATTAAAGGCAAAAGCCTTATGCATGTCATCAAACAGGAAGAGTGACTGTTGGCATCATTGAAACGAGCGGCACAGAAAATCATCGTGAAAGCAAAGATGATGGTCATTATCATCATCCATGTATAAGATGCTGATTATGAATGTGCAAATATTCAAGCACTTCGAACGCTCAAGTGCATATATAACAGCATTACAATTCACTTCTACATGAATTTAAATTATTCAAAATTTCAAACTTCTCAAAACAAATAGACGTTGCATGCATTTCACCGCATGCAACCCTCTGAAGAGATAGTTTTACTGCAGTATGAAACGCGATGCTGTCGAACCACCTTTCCAGAAAAAACGCACACAGCCACGAAGCTACGCTTCAATGTTGGCAAGCACACCCGCACATCATTTTTTTATTTTATAAATGTGGTAAGAGGGCTTATATCTGCTAAGTTTGGACAATCTTAAAGCTCAACTTACTTTACCGCTTATAACTTGGGCTCTATTACTATTAGAATCCTGCCACTATGTTAATTTCCTTCCACCTTACCTCAAACCAAAAAAGTATTGTGCAAGTTAGTTGAGTCATGACAAAAAAGCTCACTTTTTTTGTAATGTGCGATATACAGTGCTATTTGAACTCCTGTATTCGAAATTATTCAACAAAATTCCTATTTGCTTAAAACCTTTAATTTATTGCTTGTCTATTACTAATGATGACAGCACTAGATGGCTTTCACCTTAAAGTCATCTTAGGCAAGTGCATTAGGGAACCCTGCGAGCCTTTATTGCAGGTGATGGATGTTATTGCAACTTGACCGTGACCGAGTTGCCGATAGACTTTAGCTTGATAATTATACTATAACAACAAATGTACAAGTTGCAAACGGCAGTCTCACAATAAATTTGTTAATGCGCTGGCATTAAAGAGCTCGTTTTCCAGCAATTCCGGCATTGGTGTCGTTGGTTGCGAGTGAGAAATTGGCATAAACAGTGTCTACAGCTGCACAGGTGGGCATACTGTTGAAACGTAGCCGGTACTTCGATTAAAAAAAGGAAGAGTTCTGGCGTAGTGAGCTCTTCGCAACTGTAGTTTCAGTAGGCATTCCAGGTTAATATGAAACAGCCAATTTTACAAGCACAGACTTTTTTCCTTGCAGCACGGTTAAGGCATCCATTGAGAATTGAAGCCAAGCTATCGACTGACAAGGCAAGGCAAATAGGGCCTGTTTATGCCATCACGTACTACTCTTGCAGGTTTTAAGTTTATTCAACTTAAATGAGCAGAAACAAAAATATACCTGCCTACTTTTCTGAGTAGGGCTTTGTGACAAAAACTAGAAATAAATGGCACACACTCGTTGGAGAGACTTACCTTGAACTCTGGGTGGAAGGTAAACAGAAATGATTCTCCAGTGCCATAGAAGTGCTCACACATCCTTAGGGAACACGATGTTAGAACGCCAAAAACCTGTGCAACAAAGCAAAACTAATTACGGTTTAGCTTATTAACTCAATACACACACTTGACCTTGCAGAAAAAAAAAGGGAGGGGCAGGAAAGAATCTCTACGGAAAAGCCAGCTTACAGCGCCTTCAGTGTCCAAGACCGTAAGCAGAATAGGTGATTCAGTCTTGAGCATCTCGCGGTAAAGTGTCTTGAGGCTGAAGCCATGTTTCAGCGTACTGTACACAAGCGCCCAGGAGTAACTTTCCGCACGTGCTGGAAGGTGCTTGCACAGCTGTTGCAGGAATAAAACATTCACCAAAGTAAATTACCACAGTCCGCACGGCATGTAGCAAAGCTCGATCACAAACGTGTCTGCAAAACTGTGGTTGCACTCTCAACCACATACCTGAGTTTTCACCTCATGCTTTGGCTTCCTTTATTAGGCTTCATTTCAGCTCCATAATAAAATATACCACAAATAAATTATTTGTATAAATTGGTGTTCAAAGTTTAATTATGATGATAGCGATGGTAAAGTTAACATACTGGGTGCCTTTCTCCTTCATGTCATTTTAAGCTAATGCATAAGGAACGCTGCGAGTTCTATAAACAATCATTTTGCTAATGTTTTAATTTTCTGCAATAGTGCCCAGTAGGGTAATACAGATTTTGAAATATTACTCTGGAGACTTGTGCAGCAGAACCCTAATGACACATTCTCAAAGGGATACTAAGAAATAAATGCAGGAGCCAGGAAACTACAAAGCACAAGAAAAAATATTTAGCGGTACAGAAAATTATTTCTATGTTTACAGTTGAAAAAAACGAGCAGTGTTTTCTGGTCCATTTAGTCATGCCAAAGCAGGACAAAGTTTTCAAGCAGCTGTAAGGCCATATCTTTAAATAAATTACACAACAGCCGACATCTTGTATGTGATCACTGTTGGAGATACCTTCGCTGAGATTGTCAGAAGATGTGTCGGGATCACCAAGAGATAATGTAGCACTGTTGGCATAGCGTCTACGAGCCACCATGGTTCATAAAAAATGATGTGTGTATTGCAGGTGTCAAAGTGCCCCCATAAGCAATTGTTGAAAAAAAATGACCCCTGCTATACCAACTCCTTTGTCACTAGAGAACGCATTGGTTTAGTTGGGCCCGATTTAGCCAACGAATAGAACCGCAGAGCTGAAAATGGCATCATCCAAAGAAATGTATCTGCATACACAATTCTTTTGACACTAGTAATAGTACCGGTAACAGAAATAAGCACACGCAACACAACAACGTGGAGAGCCCAGCTGCGAACGTCTCGAATTTCTCTGACAAATAACGACAGCGGTGAGTACGCGCCAATGTGCAAATGGAACAGCAGTAACAAGTGTCAATCTTTTAGGCTTTTTCGCGAATGCCAAAAACAAATTTAAGACCAATTGCATCATAGCCACCTCACTTGCAATATGTATCTCGAAGGCTATTTTTTTGTTCGCGGTAAACAAAAGTATGTTATATGTGCCGCTTGCGCCGCTCATGTGGCTAATCATACAGTCAAGTCGGGCCAAGCTGCGTACAGTCGATGTGGTCGCTCTCTTCCATAGTTGCCTGACTGGCTCAAAGCGCACCTCACGATTTATCATACAGGAACAGTCTCGCAGTTGCAACTTAGCAGCAGGGTTCCCATACATTGGATCCTATGGGAGCTATGCTAGAACCAGCAGAAAACGATGTACCAGCCGGGAAAACGTAGCAGCGAGGAGCTTAACAACAAGGTTCTACTGTATATGGCACTTAAAAAAGGGCAATGGAAGCAACAGCCATCGGTCACACATTATTAGATGGAAAGTTGTTTTGATCCTTTTAAAATCAAATTTGTTGTACAGAGCCATGCAAGTGCAACTTTAGGGTATACCTCACTAAAGATTCTGTACACACCTCTCGACGGTGCTCCTCAGTAAATATTTCCGTGGAATCGAGTAACTCGGGCAAAGGAAGGTCAGTCAGGTCTATTGGAGATACCTTGCGTGTTTCACTCCCCAATGCCACCTGTGTAGAACAATGAAAAAATAATTAGAGACACAGAGGAAAGGAAATTGAACAATAAAAAAAATCGCACAATAACTGGGTCGCAACTTGCTCAGTGCCAGCTAAGTAATAAAAGAATTGGAACAGCCCTGCTTTCAAAAAATCGAAAACCGGTGCATGTTAATTTCTAACCCACACTTTGTCAATGTCCATGCTCTTTACTTATACCTGACCTCTGCATTTAGTACCTCACTTAAAAGTAACGTACCAAGTGAACGACTTCAACCGCCTTCTACATTGCAACTTCAAACAAGTGTATGACACTTGCCTCCCAGTCACTCGGGGAGGCTGCAGCAGCTTCAGGCGGTGTCGTGCCACTGCCAAAAAGCTTGAAGAAGCGCAGAGCGCCACCGTGGCCTTTTTTAGAACCATGGTGACCCTTACTGCTGCTGCTCATGTCAGGAGTGTCCTGTCCTCCTTGACGGCTGATCGTACCCAAAATATGGCTTTGGACAGTGTGCATCTCAGCCTCGTCCTCATCCGCAGGCTCGAGTAATGGCTCAAATCCACGACTGGCCATGTCCACTCGATGCACGTCACCATACACCGAAGGTGCCCATTTTTCCAAAAAGTAGTACAGCTCATCTGCTCTGTAAGATATGGCGCAACAAAGGACTATGTGAGAAAAAAGCCGCATATTTGCTGGCCACCTTACTTAAACTCTACAGCAGCAAGTGAAAATAGTGCTAGCCCTATGCATTGAAAACTGTTTAATGGCACACATTAATTGTGATTTCAGCATAAATTAAAGATCTTTTTTTTTTTGCTATTAAAAAAAAGTCTGCAGCTCGCAGCAGTGACACAAGGCTGGAACAATCAGAAGAGTTAAGTGTTTGACCTAGCTAAACTTTGCTAGTAATGCTAAGCTCTTGCTAGAGGTGCAATTTTTTTGCTAGTAGTACTAAGTATGTCTAGACTTGACTAGACATGTCACATGACTCCCTTTTACACGACGTAATTTTTGCCTCATGACTAGCTGCAACATCTTTTTCTGGCATAAATATGTCATGTGACTAGCTATTATGCAATTTTGTGTGATTTTAGTCACGTGGCTAAATGTTACACGGTTCTTAGTCGCTTGACTAGACGTTGTGTGATATGCGATTTTTAGTAACCCAAGTAGATGCTGCGTGACCTTTATTCATGTGACTACTTATTACATAATGTTACTTGATCTTTAGTTGCACAACCAGTCTTTACATGATGATATGCAATTTCAGTACCATGACTAGTTACGTGACATTTAGTCACGTAACAGACTCGCCTATTATAGATTTTGCATTCCACACTGGGCAAATCAGTGCACATGTTGAGAGAGCAAAGCAGAAGTTGAAGAAAATGAAATGAACGCGTACAAGTTAGGCGTGATGATACTTCCTCTTCGTACTACCCAGTGCAACCTAACAAGAAGCTAAAGAGCTCAGCAACTATATACTTATAATTACCTAGAACTATAATTATGATTAAATATATGCTAAAAAGTTCATTACATTCTGTAAAATTTGGCATATAGTTTTCTTTAAGCCTACATCCTTTACTAGCATAATACTAGTACTTCCCAGTGTTTGTTCAATGTTGTGTCATGTTGACTACTGCTCTATCAACAGTGCATTAAAATCAAGTGTTCTACCATGCCAGTACTTTTAAATTCTTTCTCACATTATGCAGCTGTATGCTTCGCCCAATACCGAATAATTCAGCTATATTCAATTTTCAACTTATTCTTCAGTATTCCCTTTTAGGGATACTTTCCCTTTTATAAAATTAGCACCTGATAGGTTGGTGTCTATGAGTATAACATTTCTGGCATTCTGTCGCAGCACAGCTGGCACATTGCCAAACCACAGTAGCGAGCACATAAATGAACACGCTCGAGACTAGTCTTGTGAAATCTTGCAAAACTTAAAAGTCCCTCCAAAAGCAACCTTCTGATAATTTTTGCAATCAATGTGCTGTAAAGCCTCACTAACATTTCCAACACTTTTTTATATTAACTCGCTTTAACATATTCAGTGCTACACTGCTAAGCTCACTCACTAATATTATGATGTCAGTATTTGTCCTGAAAGCACAGTCTGACCAACATGTCCACTAATCAATTTATTGCTACCCTCAAGGTCCTTCACAAGTGTCTTTACAGTTCTCATCATTTTCACCCTAAGTTGATCTGGCAGCATGCAACTCTCCCAGCACTCAATTAGCTCCTTGACAATCATACACGCTTGTGACCAAATGACTTTTCTTCCTTGCTTACTCATTATGCTGTCAAAGACTGCTATAGTTAACCTTCGCAACAACATTGCTGCCATCGTTTATCTGCTGTCATTTGAGCATGTAGTTGATCAATTTATAAATAGCTAATGGTGTGTCAATGTAAAACCCACACCTCAGTTAATGAACCCTTGTGGGCTTTGAAGGACAACAAACCAACTGCAACATACTATACAAGGAAGTATTATAACTGACACATTGGATCAGTCTATGCCCATTCTCTGTGAGACTACTCTAAATTTAAACCATACAGTTAAAGAACTACAAACAAGGGAAATGTCACAAACCTATTTCGTGGGATACCGAACCAGTACTGAGACCGTATGCAGCGCTTGGAGGAGGCAGTGGCAGAGCACTGATTCTTGTGCAGGGGTCTTCCCATGCGTAGGCACAAGTACAACAGTGTAGCCTCTGATGATTGTGCTAGCCGAGGAACCAGCTCTGCAATGGTCCAAAGCACAAAGACACGCTAAGAAGAAGCATTGTCGGCATTTTCCAGTTCATAAATGAAACAAACAATTGCACACCTGCAGTGTATGATTGAACGACATACCATTTTACTTTAGGCCCCTGCAACCATAACATCTTCTAAAACCATAACGCAAGTAACACACATTGCTTGTAGTTGTTCACGGAAATATTTTTCAGTCACAGTATATGCTATGTGGTTATATTATCTGTTAAATTCCAAATTTTGTAACGAAACTTGATCAAGAATGTTTTGTGTGTACTTTTCTTTCACTATATTACACTTTTCAAAAAATCACCAATGGTACTTGGTTATGTACAGCCATCAGCAAGCTTAACACAAATGCTCAACAGCTTGCCCTGAAGCAGTTTGATTGACGCTAGCATCGCGTAGCTTTGGGATCTGTTTCCAGTATGTTACTCAAGCATGCTGACATACTATCCAAGCATTACCTCGGCAACAGGGCCCAGTGCTTCGCGGCTGACATCAGTCGAAGTAATTCAGGTCACGCATCAAAGCGTTCCTGTTAAGCTTGCTGATGCCTGTACAGGCACGGTTACTGTTACAAGCAACATGGAGCGGGTAGCCGTATTTTGCGGAGCATCGGGATGAAGACCGCGCAATGTTTTGCGGCCTGAGCGCATTCACTGCCAGAGGCGTACTTAGCTGTGTGTCGTCTGCTATGACTTTTACTACATAAATTAATGCTGCTTTAAATGCAACGATGTCCGGTTTTCAAGAGGTTCAAGACCATGAACCCCATCACAGTATGTTTTGTTCAAGCATATCACACGGCAACTGTGAATTCATAGTTAGCTCAAAAGACATGCATAACAAACAATAAAAACTTACATGTAGCACATAGCTATTGTAGCATCGCGACAAAAAGAAGAAAAAGAAAGCTTTCATTTCTTTAAAAAAAACAAGGAAAAAAACGTTCTGAAGCAGCTACAGTAGCATAATGTCGGGGCACACGAAATTAGCTTTTATATCCCACAACCAACAGGTTTAGAAGCTTCTGGCAGACCGAAAGCCCTTCAAGTGGCTTATGTAAGCAAGTTCTTGCATTCTGTTGTGCTGTCCATGGGTGCGAATAGCTCACAGTAGGAAGTGGGTAGAGCTCGAAAGAATGCTAGAACACAGTGAGCGAACAGCTACGGTTACTAGGCACCAAAATTTTCGCTATTGTGCAAGCATCGTGCGTGGAAAGTATTAGTATCTAATATCGGCAAGAAGCATAATACACTCTTGGAAGGAGCTGCCTTCACATTGTAGTCAGAACTAGCACACTTTCTGACATTATGCTCTGCTTTTGGTGGCCACATGCTCAAGAAAATAAGGATCGTTTGTTGGAGAAGGACACGGCATATGTGGAACTTGTGCTGATGTAAGCGTTACGTCAACAACGGGAGACGTGGGGGCCCACCGCAACACATCTGGCAGACACTATTTCTTATGGCCAATAAATGCTGTGTGAATGTATAACCACTGTTAATAATTACTGCATTTCTATAATGAAACTGCATTACAGTGTGGAAAGAAATAAAGCTTTTTTCTTCTTTTTTTTTTCAAAATTTAAACATACAGTTGACTCTAATTCAAACTTGAAGAAACCTCTGAATTTTGTTTGAATTATCAAGATGTTTGTATTATCAGAAGTTTTCAGATATATGACTCTGGGCAAGGTGACAAATTGATTTTGTCAAGTTTAAATTTTTTTAGGTGTTTTTAAGCTTTAACTGCACCCAATGAACAGAAAGCAGAGGTGTAAGGTCTACAAGTTTATTAGCCATTTACTACTGATCAGACCTTTTAAAGAAATCATGAATTGCCTACTGCTTCTGTACTAGATATGTCTTCAGCACAAAGTTCTATACCAGTTGGGAAGAATCATGGGTTACCATGTGTGTGCTCCATTTATAACATTTGTTTACTAGCAGAGCCTTTAAAGCCAAATGCACTTATTTTTAATTTTTAGATGATTAAGATTACATAAGCACACAAATTTTTAAATAGTAGTAGGAAAGCAGCAGATATTTTCTAGTATGGAACCACGAAAAGTATGAATTGACCAATTGAAAGAGCTTGAAATAAGAGTCTTTTAAATACATTGAACGAATAAAGGGCCAACAAAAAATTTAATTTTGTTTGAGTTAACCAAAGTATGAATCATCAGAGTTCGAATGATCGAGAGCCTACTATTAGTCGAACTGTGGCAATGATAGTTTAGAAAATGCACGGACTATCAGAAACAAGCATGCCATAGCGCTGTGCATTGTTGGGAGGATCGTTCCGACGTGATGTTCTTACAATGTAAGTGAAAATTTGTCCATAATGTGTGCCCGCTCTGCACAAGCATTTATATTCTAACACAGCGCTAGAAGAGCATGAAAGAGACGGGAGGGATTTGGTGATATGCAGCATCTGATCGTACTTATTGCCTACCGCTTCATTGGCCTCATTGTAGGTAAACCTATATTATCCATAACAGTTTCAATCGAGGTGCGGGGTACCCAGTGCTCTTAGGTAACACCATCAGAGACTGAAAAAGCCTACGCCTGGCAAGACTACCTCTGGAACACAGATTACATGACCGACGTCCGAGAAGGCACACTGACCGGCAATAGCCATGCAGCAACCAGTACCACGAAACAAGAAGGCCACTGACAAAGACAACCTAGCTACTGTGCAGCTAATCACACATATTTTCAGGTACGACAAATGAATACGTGGCCGACTGGTTAAAGCACTACGAAAGAGTGAGCCATTGTCACAACTAAAGTGCATCGGCAAAGCTCATAAATGCCGCGTTCTTTGTTGCTGGGACTGCTCTGCTTTGGTTAGAGAACCATGGACATATGCTCACCACTGAAGGTTTTCTTAGGGGGCACAAGTTTCAGGAAAAAGAAGGCTGAACAAACAGAGCAGGATTGCCTGACAAAATGTGTACACTGACCGGCAATACAATATACAATGAAAAGGTACAAGCTTTGTGGCAGTGTAAACACAAAAATGTAAAATGAACGCAAAGTTGAATATTTGTTAAAGGACATCATCAGAGATGTTTATAGCTTTCTTGTCATGAAGGAAAACCTCAACACACCTAGCGAGATTAGGCAGCAATGTCATGCCTTTGAGGTGCTGAGGACCCGGGGACTTTGGCGATGTTCGAACACTTTGACAGTTTCACTATGGCTGCAAGTATGGACGATTTCGCCTGTGAAGACCTCCCTTTGATAGAGTGTCAAAAGGCAAGAGGAGCTAGCATGGCTTCAGGGATAAGAGGCTGGCTATCAGTGCACATTTGATGAGTTTACTGAATCACTGTTCTTCTAAAAGTGAGAGTGTAGGATCGGGTGTCAGCAAAAATCAGAAGCATACTTCTGATCTCTCCCAGCAAATCACGGTCGCCACCAGACGTCACCACCTCGACATGGCGATGTGGTATATCACCCAATACTATGTCTTTCTGCAGACCGCTATGAGACCGCTACAACATGTGTCTGTGGAGAACTACACAACTCTGCAAGCCTTTGCTTTCGCTAATTTAAACCAGGACATGCCAATTTGCTACATATGCAGTTTCTGAGGGTATACTATATGCGTGTGTCCCGAACTTCTCAAGAGCTACCTTCTTACTCTAAACTCCCTTCTAGAAAATGTTTCATGTTATAAATACCTAGGTGTTCACCTTTCAGCTGACCTTACCTGGAACACTCACACCGATTACGTCGTCAACAACGCTAACTGGCATTAGGGTACCTTCGACGTAATTTTTCAAGAGCACCTTCTTCACTAAAACTACTACTTTACAAGACACCGGTTCGTCCGAAGCTTTAATATGCGGCATCACTCTGGCATTCAAGCCAAGTCAACCTGATGCAAAACGTTGAAGTAGTTCAGAATAACGCGGTTCATTACATACTATCCGATTATAACCGTATCTCCAGTGTCACACACATGAAATTGAGGCTTAACCTACCATCTCTAGCGTCTTGTCATAAAGTTCTTCGTCTGTGTCTTTTTCATAAAATAATCTATCACCCTAAACTATGCAGTGAATCATTTAAGCGCCTTATTACATTTCCGCTCGTTTAGACCACTCAAATAAAGTCAGGATACCCCATGCACGGACTAACCGCTTTTCACAGTCATTTTTTCCGCGAACAGCCACAGACTGGAACCATCTGCCCGACTCCATTGCCTGTATACAAAACCAAGTATTGTTCAAAAACACCTTAGCTAACATTGTACATTAGGATTTTTCTTATATAACTTACCAGTCTCTAATTACTGTTCACTGTAGTTATTTGCTTTGTTACCTAGCTAACCTAGTTTCGTGCTTTATATTGCCTCTAACTTAGCTCACTGTATCTGTGTATTACCCACTCCCCTCTGTAATGCCTTCGGGCCCTGAGGGTATAATAAATAAACAAATAAATAAATAAATATGTTGAGAAAATAACAATTAGATGAAACCATAACAGTTACAATACTCGGCAGTGTCTATGTAAGTACACTGGCAGTAGAGATAGCGTTAAACATCAAAATTGCTATAAATTCTTTTTACTACTAAAAATCTTAATGAGCAGAATGACTGCAATCAAACAGTACTAGTCACATTCTCAGTCATCATGAAAGCAGCAAGTATGCGAATGGGTACTTCAGTGGCCTTTAAACTTTTTCTGCTCATTAATGACAAAGGTGAGGTGCATGTCTATAGAAGTTTATTGCTTTACAACTGATTAACTAAAGTATCAAATACCCAATTACAATACGTTCATGCTGTTTTTGGCACTTGGCAAGTACACAGCCTTACTAATGAATGTATGTATCCTTATCTTGTGCATACATTTGCAAACAAAGTAAATATGTGAACAAAGTAAGCACTTGTAAAGCTGGAAAATGCCAAAAACTCACTATCAAATGCTGCAAACAGCTCGGGCTTTTCCTCAACCATGTTCTTGAGCCAGACATTGGCATTTCCAGTTTGCAAAGAGGGCCTCTTTTCATCCGCTGCCAGCTGCTGGGTCTGCAACTGCAGTGTAGGTGTCAATGGCACAGGATCATCAACACTGTGCAGAAAATTGGCTTCTAATTTAGGCGATGATGCAATCGTCTTGGAGATGGAGTGTGTGCTCAAGGATATTAACTCCACTGGACTCGAGAGCTCCTTGAGTACCTGCTCATGTGCAGGCTCCTGGGACCTGTCAGAAGGAACGCCATCATCCACTGAAGCCCACTCCCTCATGCATACAGGGATACTCTCAGTCGAGGCAACTCTGGACAGTTCTGTGGCTGGCACATGGTTTGTCGAGCTTAGTTCAAGCGTTGAACTCGGCATGCAGGAGAGGCACGATGGCTCGGGTAAGCTCTTTCCACCCAATGACAGTGGCGGGAGTGTGGATTCCTTTTCCCAGCAACCACCACTGTTCGGCTCCCCACGCACTGTTGGCTGAGACTCCGACGCCCTGTTGATAGGCTTTAACAAGTACTCATCAGCAGTCTCCCTTTCTATCTCCTTGGCTGCTGCACTCTCTTCCATAGCTAGAATCTTTTGCGGTGTTGCTGAATCGGTCGGCAACCTTTCCTGAAGGTTCGTCAGAGTTTCTATGTGCTTGGTTGCAAGCTTGTCACCAGCCCGGTCGTCTTTCACCACCTGGACAGTTGCAGAAGATAATTCGACTTCAAGCTGAGTAACAAGAGGCACAACATTATTAGACTCCCCGGTGCCCGCTTCACCAGCGGCAGCTTCCAGCTGCTTGCTCACCTCAGCTGACGCCTTCGCAGTTTTTTTGCAGGCATCTGGAACTGGTCCTACATCTGCAGCTAGTTTTTTTGCAGCACTGCTTCTGACTCCAAGCTCTACTTTACCAAGCAGGGTAGTTGTTGCTTCCAAACTAGAATATTTATTTGCTTGTAGTGCACACACTTCTTCGTTATGTGGCTCAGAATACGGGCCCTTTTTTGATGTGAACTTGTCACTGCTTCTTAATTGTGCATCGCTCTGCTCAGTAGACTCTACAACTGCTTTTGGCTTCTGCACATCACTTCCCAACAGCAAGGTTTGCTTCGTGTCTTGTTGCTGTTCTTGTTCTAGACTGTTTGACTTCACAACAGTGTCTGCACTGAATGTATCATGCACTTCTTTTGGTGGCTTGCACTCTGGCACACACACATTTGAAGACACTGTTGCAGGAGCTCTGTTCAGAGTCTGGACATTTGGCTCTGTCATTTTACTGTTGACTCGACAATTAGAGGGCAGGCCTTCCTCCTGTTTCTTGAATTGAGAAATGATGATCACTTTATTCTCGGTGCTCGCCATCTGACCAGGTCTGGCTTCAAGAATTTGCTCAGTGCAAGACAAGTCTGAGGAAGGCTTTTCATTAGCACCTTGCGTTGAAGGAACAGGAGATGCTTCGGTAGTATATTCTTGCGAAGACTTGACTGGCTCCGACATCTTCTCACTGACACTAGCCTGGCCTTTGGGGGGCAGCCGGTGATGGGCAGGCTGGTATGGTTCTTCCCACTGAATACCGGCAGCAGCATCAGGCGTGTCACTGCACAGCCCCAAAATAGCGGTGTTCACATACCATAAGCACATGCACTACAAACTATGGCTAATTTACCACAGGTTCATTCCAACCATGGTATCACTCACGTTTGAAGAGAGTTACTGCTTCCTGGGTTTACTTAGATACGCCAGCTACACTTGTGCTTTTGTGTATTATACTATACCTAAGCTAGTTTTATCACTGCCTGCATGTTTTAGCAGTCTATACCTCAGGCGGTATTTTTTCCCACATGAATGTTGAATTCCTTCCCACATGAAGGTTCGTTTCATGAAGCAATGCGTAAGAACCAAGACAGGAAAAATGAAATGGCTGTTAACCACATGTCCAGTTTTCAGCTAGAAGCATATGTTCAGAAAGGTATTCAGAAAGGCCACACTTTTGATCCATAGCACACATTAAAAACAAATATTTTCTGTGTTCAGGCATAAAGTACGAGGTTTAGTACTTCAATGGAGCAGCCAATTTACATGGGCTGCTTGTTTGCTTGCGGGCATATGCGTGGGGAATAGAAAAGTATTTGAGCAAGTTTGTGTGTTAGCTTGTATGCTATGTCAGGTCTCTGCTATTGAAAGCAGAGACCTGACCACAGCTTTTTATTTATAATACATAGAAATATATATTTCATATATACATTTAGACTTTGTTAATACATAGATTCTTTTGACAGGATCGCTAATACAGTGCGAGAATTGTTTGCAACTCAACCATAAAACTGGTTCTGCACACTTCCCTTCATTGTTAGTAGTGAGGTGGTATCACCCAAGTTCTGTGGAAATTTAGTTTCCAGCTCATAGCTCATAATCACAGCAGTCAGAGACAGCTAGACTGCTATTTCATTATCTCAGCCTGAAAAATCTTCTTAGCTTTCTCTTAGTCACTGATTGGCATAAAGATCTGTTAAGTGTTGTAATGAACTAGCACTGACCGAACATGCATGTGCGTAATGTCGTTGTAGATGGCTGCGGCCACCACCATGTCCATGGGGGCAGTCACTTCGTAGCATTCCGATCCATGCTCCATGACGAGTGGATCAGACACGTTGGGTACAAACATCACGTTGTTTGGAGTTACCAGAAGCGTTCCCATCACCACCCCTTTACCATCTGTTATGTGTCGCGATGAAATATTCAGGAACATGTCCATGTTATCCTGCAACGTGATAACAGGTGCCAAAAAATGTAAGCAGCTGTGCAAAGGACCCTGAGAAACACTGTCATCACAAATAAACAAAATGTCCATGCAGCTGGAACAACTTCCACGCCAACTTTTCAACCCGAATAATAAATCTACAGTCAGTAGCTTCCCATTGAAGTCCAGATAAAGAGCTACCTTGGATGGCATCAGTACGTTGGAAGCCTTCAGGAACATGACAACATTCAATTATTATGGCTGAATCTAAACATATATGCATAAAAGATTATTGGACATGAAGTAAATATGAAATTATCAATACCAGCAAGTAACAAATAGTGTGCATAATAAACGTAAGCCTCTTAACAACTGGACAGAATTTATGCACACGTTTCATAATTAAACTATATACAACATAGACACAGTTTGGCTTCATTAAAAATTATGAATTTGTGCAACCCATGCATGTTACCAGCACATATAAGAATATGCAAGAAATGAAGCCCAGTGTTTGGATAATATACAGAATGGTTAAGAATGTGCTTTGAAAATATTTAGAATATTTTAAACTGTGGAATGTTATATTATGCGTGTTTAGGTATACATTCAAGGCCTGACTGCAGCATGTGGCTTATTAAAGGTCAGCTATCAAATTTACATGTGTGTGGGTGTACATGTGCATGGGTGTATGTGTACGCACCTGTCAAGGTTACCCTCAAGGCCAGGCAAAGTACAAAGATATAGGCTGCTAAGTAGTTGACGCCAAAGAAACAAAAAAGCTACCACATTAAAACAGGGGCTAACCATACTTTGAACATTCTATTAAGCTAAACAATGCAGTGAAATCTGCCGATCAAAAGTGTCATATCCCTTATACTTGGGGTCTCAAACACGTGGCATTTTCAGCAAGTAAATGGCTGCCTCTGTCCCATATGATATGTGCGGCACTGCATGCGGTCACCATGTGTCGAGGCTCAACTGTGCAACAAGATTTGTATATTTCAAACTTGGCCTACAGAGTTGAATGATTCCTGAGGTCGGTATTGATATGTTTCTCCATGTCCAAATGCTCGACTCCGTTCAGAAATGACCTATATATGAGATATGCCAAATGGTAATGTTGTTCCATTCAATATTAGTCAATATAATTCAATATAGTCAATGTTAGTCGAGATTGTGTTCAATTTCTTCCCCCTTTTGCTCCGGCCATCTTCACTGTTCTGGCCCTGAATGGTCTAAATTTCTTGACTGCGACCCACTGGCCGAGGTGAACTTGAGATCCCCAACTTATGAAAAAAAGGCTCAATGTTTCACTTTGTTGAACTATATCTTTCGTCCGATATCGACTGCACGTATACAAAACATAGCTTTTGACAATACACCCAAACTTTTTCCAAACAAAAGTTAAGCACGTGCCAGTTCTAAAAAAATATCTCCCATTAAGTCGAAATTTTCTGATGCAATTTATACAATGTGTGTGAACTAAATTTGATAAAGGAAATTCGAGTCCTTATTTTGGAGCAATTGCACTATCTGATTTGACTGAATGTGTCACTTAATGTGCCTTGTTCTCTGACTCAGCTGATTCGATGTGCTCATTGGCTGAGCAACGGTGTCGCTGCTGTTCCATAAAGGCTGCAGGAGAGCCTGGTGGCGATGCCGTGGCCTTTGGCGAACAGGGACGCCCGCCAGGCAAAGGGTAGTCCAGCCCCAGTGCCATGATTACCCACTGATGCCTGCAAATGAACAATCAAAAGCGATTTCCAAAGGTTTAAACTACTTATACTACCAAGAAATACCGAAACTTAATATATTAAAAAGGAATCATGCATCACGCCATGTCATAGCGGAAGTTAACGCAAGCCTTGCAAATATATTGCATCATTCAAAAGAACGATATTTCAGTACAACGCTACTAAAATTTATTAAAACCGAGCCAACTAAATTTTAGAATTACTTGAGTTAAAAGAAGAAACCAGTGTCGCAGAATAATTCTATATAATGGTGTTGTCATAAATGAACAATTAGGCATTGCTGAACAATTTAACGCATACTTCAACAATGTTTTTTTTTTTTGTTGCAACTGAAAGAGTTCGCGCTGCCCCAATTGATGGTACAGCCGTTACAAGCTCTTCAAATTTTATTAGTTACCCCATAGTGCCTTTATTGCTACTCAACTTGAAAAAAAAGCTCGCCCTGGACTCGATAATATTCTGAACGTTTTTATTTGCCGGTATGCCGATCAAATCTCTCACAACGTATCTCGTCATTATATTTCATGCATCCATGTCGTGTTTGAGCTGGCTGAAAGACTGGAATACCGCCCGTGTGGCGACCATTTTTTAAAAAAAGTGATCATGTCCAATTAGATAACTATCACCCCATGTCACTAACATATTCCTGCTGTAAATTAATTGAACATGTTATTGCACAAGCCCTGGATGAGTTTCTTGATGACAGAAGAATTCTCACCAGCTCTCAGCACGGTTTCAGAAAGGGATATTCCAGTCACACAACTAGTCACTGCCATTTACACTTTTGCTTCTGCTATTGACAATAATAATCAAATAAAGTTAATTTTCTGGATATTAGCAAAGTGTTCAATAAGGTAACTCATTCCAAAGTAATATTTAGACTAAGATAATATGACATTCCTAAATTTCTTGTTTCTTGGATAACAGAATACCTGAAAAATCGTGAGCAGCCAGGGATATAGGTTGACATCACCTGTATTGGGTCCTTTGTTGTTCTTCCTGTCCTTCAATGACATTGTTGATACTAAACCAAATGTCCAAATAAGGATATTCACAGATTACTGCGTGTTGTTTAAATAAGTCACCTGCGTTAGTGGCCAAGATGGCCTGAATGATAACTTCAGCTGAATTTTTCAATAGTGCTCCCATTGGAAGATGACCTTGAATGTAGAAAAAAGTGTTGTTTTATCAATATCCCAAAAGGAGATATTCCCTAATTATAATTATATGCTGGGCTACTCTCCACTTGAAGAAGCCACCAACTGTAAATATTTAGGTGTCACAATTCGCAATAACCTCTCCTGGAACCTTCTTGTGCAAAACATATCTTCATCTGCCTTCCGAGAACTGTTCTTTCTTAAATACAAACTAAAGCAATGGAGCTCCGGCCTTTGTTAAGGTTCTCGCATATTATTACCTGATTCAGCCAAAGCTTAAGTGTGCCTGCATTTCAAGGGACCCCTACACGGAATGTAACAAACTTGAACGAATCCAAAGACAGGCTATCCAGTTTGTTTACAATAGGTTTTCTTCTTTCGACTCACCAACTGAACTGACACAGCCAAATGATATTCCTACTCTCGAATCGCATCGAGAAACTACGGCCTGACTTGCTAATAAACTTGCACTGGATCCGGCTGCATATTTAGGTTCACTCATGACGAGACCTACTCGCCAACATCACCCAAATGCTCTAACCCTCTATTTTGCCTGAACTGACCTATTCAAATATGTTTTTCCGTGCATCGTTAATGATTGGAACAACTTACCCATCTGTATCGTACTACTTTTCAATTGCATTGTTTAGGGTGGCTAACCAATTCAAATATGTTTTTTGCGTGCATCGTTAATGATTGGAACAACTTACCCATCTGTATCGTTCTACTTTTCAATTGCATTGTATAGGGTGGCTTACTTAAAAAGTATTTGCTTTTTCTCAGTTTTTTTTTTTTTTTCAGGTATGCTCTGGGTTGTATGGTTCAACTTACAAGATCGTTTTACTTTTGTTAACTCATTATGTTCTACCTACCCTGCATGGCCTTTGTGTCTGCAGTATGTATTAAATAAATAAATACAACCTCCAATAAGTACTCAAATCGTAAATGACAATGAAAGCTCACCTTGTCGTCCTCCAGTCTGTGCTCATGCACATCAGCCACATCAGCAGCTTGAGATTCTTGCTTATTAACAGGAATGTACAGGGTCTGTGAATAGAATGTAGCCACATGGTTCACCGATCAAATACGGGCAGGAAATCTTTTGAAAGTGCAAAATGTAATAAAAAAAACAAAGTATACGAATCAGGAAGGGGTGTGTAGCGATTCCACTTACAGCGATTCCAGATGTAAACTATCCATCCGTTATAACGACCGTATTTCAGTGCACTGAGGATTTTCCTATGCTACCCGTTGAAACCGCGTCCAGATTTAGCGAACATTTTTCAAAGCCTCGTATACTATTACAACGAACTCTTCCGACACCGGTCGCGGTAAAAATATGGCGCATACGGAGCGGGAAAAAAAGAAAAGTTCAAGCATATGCGAGAGGCACGTGCTCGCGTTTGCCCCACAGCAATTCACTCGTGAAGAAGATATCGCACACCGCAGCGAGCACCGCACGCACATTTTGGGTGCCGCAAGTGAGGTCGCTCACCATTTCCGGGCGTTTCTTCAGTGGCAGAATCGGCAGTAAGGAGGAAAGAAGAAAAAGGAGGCAGCATGAAGCCTTGCGCTCGGTTTTCGTACGGCAAGCTTTTCTGACGCCGTCCTCTGCACCGAGCGCGCAGACGACTAACGAAACAACATTGCCTTCGAACGCAAGAAGCCATAAATGCAAAAGGCTGTTAGTTGCATAAAAGTTCAATGTGACGCTCGACTCGACGATGTGCCGCAAAAGGTGTTCTGCATTTCGGTACGTAATGGCAGTGACCGGTTAATCATTGATGACGACTTCCGCGTGGATGCGGCGGTGCCTTAACAGATAAGCGCCAGAAAAGAGCGAAGGCGAGCTGTCAGTGGCGACGAGCGGGCCATCTTTACCGACAACGTTATCGCAAGATATCTGCTCGGCAGCACGTGTTTAAGCCATGCGGAGCGACGGCGGACAAGCACGTCATATGCTGCGGTTCGAGAGTTCGCCGCCGGTGTCGTGCAAGGCGCCGCTTGCGTACGTGTTGCTAGCAAAATGCACGTCTTCGTCGTGTGAAACGAACAGGCTACATACTTGCCGCACCCGAGCGCGATCCGGGGTGAAGCATACGCGCGAAGAACGCACGAACGCGCGTGCATTAGACTGCAAACGGCCCAGCGTGCAACGGCGAGAGCCGAGTAAGCGACGTGCTGCACGCAACTAGCGAGGGGTACCGCGCTTCAATGGAATGGCGCGAGTTCCTTGCGTTGCGTCGCGAGCGCACAGCGGGCGTCGCATTAGGGAGTTTTAGAATACCGTTTGCAAGCGCTGCGGGCGTAGCGGCCGCCATATGAGTTTTAGAATAGCGTTTGCCCTACTGCGATCCGCAACGCACGATCGCAGCGACACCGTAAGCCTCGAAACCAGCGCTTGCGGGCCACATGCGGGCCGCCATTACCGCACGCAATTTCGAATTTTTTGCGTGCGGTCCGCAAACGCAAACGCCGACTCGCGTTACAACGCATGCGCAGTGGCAGCGACCGCACCGCAAGGGCTCGCGGTGCGCTATTCTAAAACTCCCTATTAACACGCGCACAAGGTCTAACCTGTGACCGGATGGGCTGTTAGCACTTCTTAATGACAAAAAAAAAAAAACATGATTTGGTCGCTGTGCACGTTAATCAAGGTGACTCAGTGCATATATAAAACGAACTACTGATATATAACGTCCACTTATCGCGGCACTTTCGAGTTCGTTATAAACGGGTTATGTCGCACATACGTATGCCGTATCACGTACATGCTAGCTGTATTTTTTATATGAAGCAACAGTTTGAATTTTCGTCACTATATAATCTTAAAAACCTATTTCTGCATGCAGTTCGCCAAAACAATATTAATTATCAATTTGAACTGATTCTCTTTCAATAATATGCTCTTCAGGGCAGGTTGTGTATAACACAGTGGCATCATACAACGTTTGCACATTGTAATTTGTACAAGATGTATCAACACGAGTGAATACAAAGCATGGGAATCGCCCAGGTAAGAAAGAAGCTTGGCAGACATAACTGCCGAGAACGTGGGGGGCAGTCGCCCCCCCCCCCTAATCGTCTGATAGGGCGGCGCAAAGTCAGTCCCCCACATATCGTAGAAAGGAGGGGGGGGGGGGGGGTTGCTGCGCCCTGGGAAAATGGGGTGCCATTTCTGACCTTATAGAGAGGGGGGCGCTGCAATGAACTTTCGTCCCTCCTAAAAGAGAACCCTGCGCACGCCTATGAGGACTGCAAAAAAAAAATATCAGGCTTATATTCACAGCTTTTTTTCGAGAAACTGGTTTATTTATTTATTTATTTAGTGTACAGAGCAATGCCAGATACCAGAGCCACATAAGAGGATATACACACATCACTCCTCTTCTGTATTGCCACGCAGTAGAGCATTGTAAATTTAAGACATCCAGTAAGCCAATAATTTAATTCCGACCTTATTGCTAGGCAATGTTTCATTGCATTTTTAACACATTCAAAACTCGTTACAACAAAGCTGCATCTTACATTAAAATAAGTTCATTATATGCGACACTTTGTTAATAATGTCTAGTCCTGACACTATGCCTGCTCAGATTTGGGTTAAAGAACCCCAGGTGGTCGAAATTTCCGGAGCCCTCCACTACGGCGTCTTTCATAATCATGTGGTTGTTTTGGGACGTTAAACCACGCATATCAATCAATCAATCAATCAATCTGACAGTATGCCTATTGCAAGAATATTCATTTACTTCGTTATAACTAATATTTCGTTATATATGAACTCGTTATATTTATGACAGTACTGGTTCTACTGCCTCTTCAGCGCAGAGGACTTAATTACTACTTACCTGACCAGGAAATATGAGTCTACTCGTTAACCGATTGATCGTCGTCAGCTCTCCTGGCGTACACTCAAACCTCGCACCAATGCCAGCCAACGTGTCAGAAGCCTTGACCTGCATGGATATGTGAAATTATCAAGATGCGGAGACATGGCTTCCAGAACACTTGTGTGCAGTCTCGTAAGGAATGGCACGGGGTCACCCCGCTAAAGCCTGAAAGGAACACTACAGGTGAACAGCAATTTGCACAAGTGAAAAATTAATGCTTGAGTGTGTTTTGAACATCAATACCGTGTACAGCAGAACTTTTCTAATCGAGAAATCGAGGTAAAAGTAGAATACGGTTTGGACCACCAATGGGATTACGTATTAGGAACAAGAGCCCAGAAGCCATATTGGCGATATTGCCAGGCACTTATTACGCAAACACTCTAAAAAAATCGAGTATTTGGGGAGTACTTCTGCTACACAACAATAATCATCTAGTTCGAGTACTTTCCTCGCGCTATCACCACGGTTCCGATAGTTCGCGGTCGCGAAGGACGCGCGCGTGTGACATAGCGTTCCCAACAGGAATGTGGGCAGCGCTGGGTTTTCAAGAAAGGAAATGGCCAGCAAGTCAAATGGCGGTTATTCTTGCGTAGCATAACTACTCCCCGAGCATTTTTTTTAGAGTGAACGTCACTTTCTACATTTTTTCTTTTGTGTCACGCAAATGCCGCAGGACAAGGTCAAGGCACAACTCACATTATCACACTGGTATTTGCACTTTTTTTTACTCACGAAAGCCACATAGACAAAGTGGACGTGCAGCTTGTGGTACCTCATTTTTTGGTACGTCAATGTGACCTTAAAACATCACAGCTAGGCTTTCGCCATATAATCGGACAAAAATCATCGTCATTCTTGCTAACATTCCCACACGCAGCTTTGGAAGTTGTTGACTGTTGAAGATTAATTATAAGGTACCAAGTACGTGTGCTATAACTGTCTGCTGAAGAGTACAACCGATGCACACACAAGGGAAGGGGATGAAAAGTGGAGTGAGAGGAGGAAAGGCATAAAGGAAGTGTTCATGGCAAGGCAGAAGCGGCAGCATCCTAGTCTTATATGGTAAGAGGGGTTTAAAGTCACTCGCATTGGGGAAGAGTTATTTCAGCCTTTTGTCCCCGCGCACCACACTCTGAAGGCTATAATGTCAATCTACCAAAAATAAAGAAGCCTGCACCCACAGCGTATTCTATAGTGCCAGGCGGAGGCTGTGTGGGCGTCCTGCTCAGCTGCTTCTTTCCAGCTCCGGCATCGGACGATGCCACCATGTTAGTGGGCAGCAATGGCATGGTCTGGCCAGTGGCCGCAACGCCAGGCGACATAGCTGCCATATGGCCGCCCGCCACAGAGGGACCCCCATGGAAGGAAGCAGGGTGGTACTGCTGCATCGCAGCAGTCTCAGCCAGCGGTCCCAGGAGTGGCTCGAGGGGACCTCCAGAGGACCGGCCCTCGCAGCCTCCTGCATTCTCCTCCTTGCTCGTGTCCAACACAAGCTCCAAGGGGTTGACGTACCCGTGGCAGTCCACAGACTGTGTCTTGTTGCTGCGAAGCAAAACAGTGGTGCGACACTGCTGTAAGAATCATTGAGACTACGTGCAGAGAACGCCGACCGTAAAGAAAAGCAAGACCCGACAGTGTTATTCTCAGCATCACCATTATCACCAGCCTGTTCTACATCCACGCCACAAGTTTTTCTCAATCACACCATCGTGTCACATTGCATCAAATGACTTCATTGCTAACCTGAGAATTCTTCTTTTAGGGACGAAGCTCCTTATAGCGACACCCGTTCGTCCCTCGAAGCCGTTGAAGTATGTAGCAAGTATAACATTTTGACCTCCAAGGTGGTGCCGGTGAGAGATTTCTTCTGTGCGTTGTTGAACAATAAGAGATAGTGCTCAATGTACATGCCAATGGCTGCTAATGGGGAATGAGAGACAGGAGCATTCGGCTTTTAGCTAACGCGCACGCTGCGATCCCCATTAGCAGCCATTGGCATGTACATTGAGCACTATCTGACAAGAAACGGTTGCTACGTTATACTCGCTGGGTGTAACCTCCTTAGTTTTAGAAATGTTTAGAGAGCGTTGAGCCGCAGTGCCATGAATACAATGAACTAGTATATACCATGAACTCGAGGTGGTTAATGGTGGGAAGTAGATACGAAGCGCAAGCCGTAAGAAAGTAAAAGCCGAATTCTCCTGTCTCTCATTCCCCATTAGCAGCCATTGGCATATGTACATTAAGCACTATCTGACAAGAAAGGGTTGCTACGTTATACTCGCTGGGCGTAACCTCCTTGGTTTTAGAAAGGTTTAGCGTGAGTTGGGCCGCAGTGCCATGAATACAGTGAACTAGTTTATACCATGAACTCGAGGTGGTTAAAGGTGGGAAGTAGACCCGAAGCGCAAGCCGTAGGAAAGTGTGCGTGTGCCACCTCTCGTTTAGTCCTTGGAATGTCCGCTGGATGGCGGTGCTTCTATAAGGGGAATATATGATGAAAAGACGCGATATGGCGGTACTTGGAGTGTTGAATAGATGGGCGAACGGACACAGACAGATGCATGGATGGAGGCATGAACGGACGCAAGGGCGGATGCATGGACGAACGCAGGGACGGACGCACGAACAGACGCACACACGAACGGGCGGATGGACGCATGTACGGTCACACAGACAGACGCATGGACGGAACGAATGGATGGACGAATGCTTCGCCCCACTCTCCATCATTCACTCCGTGGATATGCTGCCATTTTTTTTAATTCACTGCCTAGCTACATTTGCAACGCAACCTAAGAAAGCCCTAGTTTACGAAGTCTTCAGTCTAAAGACCAAGGTCAGTGACTGAGGGACGATATCATGGCTTCATTACGACGACATCGTTTGGTCCAATTTGGGCCGATCAGGGAGGCAGCGCAAATCAATTTGGAGTGCGCAGGATGCTCGCAATGCTTTCAACCCTGGAGGCAATGAAAAACCACGTTTTGCGCAGA